GTGAGTCGCAATGTCTTGAGCGATGGCAACGATGAGATCAGTTTGAAGTAGACCTCCATATGAGTGACGGCTTTGGAGAGCCATAAGCCCTCAATGTTGGGGTCGTTCACAAACTCGTCGGCCGGTCGGCTCAGTACGGATCCAATGCCGACGGACTCTTCAGCGACCGCTGCCGACGCGTCCGCTGTCGAGTCGGAGCTCATGGTATGGACTGTCGGGTCGGCGATGATATCGGGGATCAGTTGGCGATCACTTCACGAGTTATCTACCATTCAATGCCCAAAACACATGTGTTTTCAACGCAATGCCATCAACAGTGCGTTAAAGCGTATGGCGTTTACATAACCGGTTAACTGCTGTACTATGAATGCCAACACATAATTGGTTCGCAAAAATGATTCACTATTGTGTTGTAATGTTGCAAATGATATCACAGTCATTATAAAACGTTACGCACAGAAAATAAAGCTAACATTTTTGACCCCCGCTTATCATAATTGACTACATTTACGGTATTAAAAGTAGTATTAACTTGATTTTAGACTAAATTAAATGTGTTTCAAATGCATATTGGTGTTTAAACTATAGTTTTAATGCACTTATTGTGTGCATTCAGTTCAACAACTATTTCATGATTTGTTAAGTAATGTTTTCGCAGCCATAGATAGGTATTCTTATTATTATTTTTAAGTTTATAATTTATAAATTATAAATATATTTAAGTACAAAGAATTTTGTTTTTGATTTTCAAGATCATATTTTATTCGCCCATTTTTCCAATTGTTAACTTTTTACATTTTAAACCTGTTATGAATAGTACACATGTAAAGTCTTTTACAATTTAACAAATAATAAGTTTATAAATGTTTAGAATCGCATATTTATACAGATTTTTTGTTTGTTTTATAAATACTTGTATTGATTGTTAGTGTTTAACGCAAAGCCAGTCCTCTCGACATAAATGTTACACAACTTACAGACAATACAATGGAAAGAGTGGGCCATTCGTTGAAGAGTTGTAAGTCAGGAATTAAATGCCATTCCTATTCGTATTTCTCTATTTGAATATCTTATAAATTATATTTATAACTCTTTTTTGTGTATTTATCACATTAATTAAAACATGCAAACTATGCAAGTTTGTATTCTAGCATATTTACCATATTTATT